TAAAAGCAAAAAACAAAACTGACCTCATTTGCATAATTTGTGACGGAAAAGCGTCACAAATCCAGTCGATTCCTCCAGAGTCTTTCCGGGTCGATTGGTGAAAAAGGTCGTCACTTGTTTCCATCTCTCAAAATGACCTGACGTCACATGACTTCGGGTAAATATCTTCGGGTGACTCTTCGGGTTACTCTTCGGATTTCCGACGTATCTAACGTATTGTGTCACAGCAGACTCATTTTATTATGATACTACTTAGCTTTCGAAGCAGAACTTGCTGGATATGGCAGCGCTTGACAAGGAAAACCATGAACAAATAAAAATCGTTGTTGAATTAGAAACGTTAAAGTCATTGTGTTGAATTAAATGTATTAAGTTAAGTATTAAAGTATGGATTGGTGATAATCAGAGTGATATCGAACCAAATTGCCGAATTTAAGTTTYAATCTGAAAAACTAAGCGTACTGTCAGACCGTAATTCGATGCTGAACTTTATTCCGCTCGTCAACACGKCAGGTCAGTTTCAAAGATGGAATTTACCTYATGACCTGTGTAAAGACAATTTTCCATCTTTCAAACCGACTTATGACGTATGCACGTTGATCTTTTCCGGATGTGACGTAGTTTACCCATTCACCATTATTTTGGCGCGAAATTCCAAAGCAGTGGTAAATGGCGATTCAATGTCAATATGACATTGCCAGACCTTTCTGAWGAGACGGAGGGCGATTTGCCCAATATAAAACACCGTGAMGAAAGAATTCCGGATGAAAATTGTACTACAGCAAGTAARCTGTCATGGCAGTATAAATTTAAAGAATTGAACAGCCCCTATGACGGCTACGTCGACACTCTGGAAGACGCCTTGGATGTGCTACGAGAATACGAGCTTCAAACAACAACAAAATTTGCATCCTTTAAATCCGACAAGAAATTTGGAGATGGAGGTTAGCACCACTTTTATTTGAAGGTTTTATAGGTTTTTAAAGTTTTCTAAAATTAGTTCAGAGTCGTTTGGGCTTTTCACTTATATTTCCTGTAGGTCAATTTTTATTTTATTTATTTATATATTTTTTTCGATTCTGTACACATTTATATAAATATTTGAAATTGACCTCGATAGATCTTGCATGACCATTGGGGAAGGGGGAAGGGGTTAGAGAAGGGGAAGGGGTAAATGTTTATATCATGGAAGTATCAATTATGTATTCACATATTCACATGTACTTGCTTCCTAGATCCCTTTACAAAATCGAGGAAAGTGTTTTTCAAAGATGAAAATATTCCATTTGATGGTATGCCATTCAACATAATTGGGAGCAAGGTTTTTGACTGTCATCATGGTCCTGATCGAAAAAAGAATTTCAAAAGAAAACTGGTCGCACAAAAGGCATGTAAAATAACACTATAATTTAATGACAATAATCATAACATACTTGATGTAATAATCATGATAATATATAATTATCATCATCAATCATGACAATTAGTTCTGTACTTAACAAACAAATGGTTTTGTTACTATCCAAAAGGAAGCCAATGATCACCATTTTGTGAAAAAAAAGTTTTTGACTCAGAACACTGTCAAATTCAACTGTCCAGCCCAAGTTCGTTTCTCTGAAGTGATAAAGYACCCAAGCTACAAGGTAAAATTCAAWATAAAAACTTCATTTACACAAGTATAACACAAAAGAACTTGCTCATTTTGTATTTTTAATTTCTTTTATAATGTTTACATTCACTTTTTTGCAATGACTTATAACAAATTCATGTTTTTCAGTAATGTCACATAATTTTTATGCTTGTTAAAATRTTGATTAAAACTTGTGTTAAACATGACTTTTACTCCCGGCCTATTGTTAGATAAGGAATGACACTGAAAGACTTTGCAGAGATATGTCAAAAATGCTTAAAACAGAGATTGCCAATGGAAAAAAACCAAAGTTTGAAAGGAGGATTTACATCCACCTACCAAGAGAGGAAGACCACAAGCAACATGTACTTGGAGAGGTTTGTACATCTTATCATTACAGGCAAATARTTTCTAGTAGATCGAGCTAMCGAAGAGATTAGTAATGACTGTCATTTAATTAATTAATGTATTTATTTTTTATAATTATTGTGTGGGATTACAATCATTGAMATATCTATTACAAATTTGCTAAGAATGTCAACACTGCAGGTTCTCAAGAAGTTACAAGAAGTTACAAATACTGCAAAACACTAATAAATATAGTGTGCTTTAAATTATTCCCTTTAATTTTTAATSAATACATGTTCCAGATTGGTGGTATTTTACAGTCCATTGATAAGAGGCTGGTGGACCAAATTGACAATCTTGTTGGGGAAGGAGTAAAGACTGTAGGTGAAATGAAAAGGCATCTAAAACAGTTTGTCAAAACAGAAATGTTCCCTGGACAGCCCATACCACCACTGACAAATAGGAGGTTTCATCCAACTGATGTTGACATAAGGAACCACATTTATAAGACAACAGTGAAACAAATGATGTCCAAACTTGATCAAGAGAACCTGGAAAAGAAAATAGAAAAGTGGCRTGAGGAGTGCAATGGTGACTTATTCTATTTCAGGCCTTGTGCACTGTCATCTAATGCCAAAAATCAGGAGGATAATCTGGATGAAGATGTGGAAGAAGACCTTCTGTTTGCCTATCAAACAGAATGGCAGAAACGTCTCATGGTTCAGTATGGGAACGAAATAACATTGCTTGATGCAACATATAAGACAAT